ACATGTGACGTTATTGAGAACTGTAAAAGTTAATCTGTATCTAATAAGTTAAGAAAGAATAAACGAATATCAACAAAGCCAAAAAAGACATAAAAAGTGGTACTTCCTTTCCTCTTACGCCATTTCACCCCAAAAACAAATCACAACTCATTCTTTCTTTCTTTCTTTCGAAATAATCATTCTCCGTTAATCCTAGTTCCCAGCATAATAAATAAAAATCTAGATTTTTTTTTTTAAATTCTCTGAAAGAAAAAAAATATCAGTGAGAAGTTAGAAAACAGAGCAAAAACATGGGGAGAACAAACAAGGGAAATAAATGAATAAACACATACTGATGACACTCTCTATCAAAGCTTTGATCTTCGGTTTCAAAGGTAACTCTTTTCCCCCCATTTATTTAAGCTACCTTTTAAGTTCAATTCTTTCAGTTTTGTTTTTTCCCCCTCATAATTTGAAGCTTCATTATTATTAAATATTCTTCTTTCCTTGCGTGTCAGAAATTAGAGTTGTTAATAATATCCGTTCACATGACAGCCCATAAATTATCCTTCCAGATAGGGTTCCGATACATGGTATGGAAGTTTCATTTCATTCGACTAATGCCCTTTTATTTATTTCTTTATTTTGTATAATATGCTCTCTCTTGTAGTTTTGTGGAAAATAAACAAGGTAATGATTTTTCAACAGGTTTAATTTTTCCCTTTTTTCATTTCTGGGGTCAATAGATTATTGAGGTTGGTTCCTTTGTCAAATTTTTATAGCTTTGAATTGACCCGTTGATGGGTATTTTTTAGATTCTGATTTGGAATCAGGAACCGGAAAATCAACTTTTTTTCCTGCGTTCTCAGCTGTGTTTTGGTGATGAAGTTTGGGTTCTTGTTCAATTCCCTTAATGGGTACTTTGTATTTTTGTAGAGAAATGAGCTAGAAATTATCACTTTTGTCTCCCCCCCAAATGACATGCAAATTGAGATGCATTTTTTTAATCCTAAATGGTTTTGCTTAGGTTTGTATATCGGTAATTACTTGAACTGTGAAGAGTAGCCGATACGGTTTCTATTATTTGGAGGAGTTGGGCCTTGAAAAATGGAGGATCAAGAAGCTTTATCTGATGATATCTCTGTACCCTTAGTAAGGGGAGTTAGATCAGAAGAAGATGATGATGACTTTCAGAGCTGCTGTGAAGATGATGATGTATGGAAGGAAACCGAAGAGGTGGTAAAGGAAGAAGAAAAGAAAGAGCTTGATGAATTTTCAGTGGAGATGTTCTGCAAGGGCATCTCTTTAGCTGAAACTGGAGACTCCAGTTCTGGGTTTTCTGGTATTGGGGTGGTCATGGAGAGATCAGCCAATAGTGCTGTTATTCAAGTGCAGAAAAAGCTTGACTTTTATGTGGAGGAATCCGTGGCTGATTATTTAGCCTTAATGGATGGTTTGACAGAGGCTATGCAGAACAAGATTTGCCGTGTATATGCTTTTACTGATTCCACATTGCTATATGATCAGGTCAGTGAAGATCAGCAATTTGGTATCCTTGTGATGTTCTTTGATATCATTTTTATATTAACCCAAATACTTTCATGTTATACCCTGAACTAGCTTTACTGACATGAACTTTTCACAGATTACTTGTGAGGACAAACTCGATAATCCACTTTTGGCGGCTTTACGGGAAAGAATCTTGGAACATTCCCGTAATTTGGAAGAGTTTGTTCTGAAACTTGTTCCAAGCTCCAATCTTTTGAGGCCATTGCAGCTAGCACAAGTAGCAATTGGAGTTGTTTCTTCTCCTGCCATGGGAGATAAATCAGTTCAAAATTGTTCCATTTGCCGTGAGGACAAGCCATCTTTGATGATGATTACCATGAAGTGTTCCCATAGATTCTGTTCCCATTGTATGAGAACTTATGTAGATGGTAAACTGCAGTCATCCCAAGTCCCAATCAGGTGCCCTCAGTTAAGATGCAAATATTACATCACCACCGCTGAGTGTAGATCATTTCTTCCGCATGCTTCCTACGAGTCTTTAGAGAGAGCCCAAGCAGAAACAAATGTTCTTTACTCAGATGGAATATACTGTCCTTATCCAAATTGTTCTGTCTTGCTTGATCCTCGTGAATGCTTATCAACTGGGACAAGTTCATCTAGTCAATCAGATAATAGTTGTGTTGAGTGCCCTGTTTGCCAAAGGTTTATATGCGTGAAATGTGGAGTTCCGTGGCATTTATCAATGAGTTGTGAAGTGTATCGGAACCTTCCTCTCGAGGAAAGAGATGCTGCAGACATCACCTTGCATCTCTTGGCACAAAACAAGAAGTGGAGGCGGTGCCAGCAATGCCGTAGGATGATTGAACTTGCTCAAGGCTGCTATCACATGACATGCTGGTAAGTCCATCTTCTTGTAATTGTACTTTGGTTATTAGATGTTGGAATTTTCATTAAACAACGGTCGTGCCAAACATTGACAGAGCACAAAAGAAATATTTTGATGCCAACCTCATTGCTTTCAATTTTCATATCGGTTGCAATTTTCTTGCTTGCTACTTGGGGACAACTTTAATTGCAGCAACCTGAATATGGACACAGGCCATGCCGCTTGTATGAATTGGAATTGTGGTTTTTGTTTTGTGCAATGGCAATGATATATCGTATGCTAAGCCCCCTTTGATTATACTATTTTGATGGGAAATTGGTCGGGAACTATGACATGACCTTTTCTGGTGGGAGGGTTTCAATATTTGGACTTAAAACTTTGTTGTGTATGTTTGGACTATTTTTTGCCCTATGATACAACCAAGTCATCCAAGAGTGTACCTGGTTTCCGTGGATCATACAGTTCGGTATGCTTGTTTCCAGCTCATGTTTGTCATTATGTGAATAGGTGTATACGTATGTTTTGTACACGTGCTATTTAGGCGTATATGGCTTGAGGTTCAGTTAGGTTCACGTCTCCTTTTCAGGTGTGGGCACGAGTTCTGCTATTCTTGTGGTGCTGAGTACAGGGATGGTCAGCAGAATTGTCAATGTGCCTTTTGGGACGAAGACAACTCTGAAGGCTTGGTCACCCATTCTGTACAAGAGTCGGAACAATTGGCTTGGGAGACTTTCAATTCACCCCCTATGATCATGGATGCATACTCAGACCAAGAAAGATCACAGCTGGCACTAATCCAAAGATTCCTTGCTGGGGGTTTCAGTTTTAGTGACCATCATCCATATCAATCCCCACCCCGCTGTACAGATTCCTATGTTGATGCCATGAAGGACCTCCATCAGCTTCCTTGGCTCGAGAGATTTGTCTCTGTAATAAGTGACAACTACTACGAAGACTATATCCAATGAAGCCAGTGTGGATGATCCCAATGTTAGGTAATAAGTTGCTTTTCAGTTCAACAAGGTTTACAAGAGAGGCAAAGAGTTTCTCACTCTATTGGCCCCATTTTCATCGACACAAATTTCTTGAGATTAGTCACCCCACCCTCTTACGTGGTTCTTGAAAGGAAAAGAAAGAATAGGGTAAGCATTTATTGATGTCATCAAATTGAAAGAAAGTTGATGAAACAAATCTTTTTAACCGTTTTGGTTTCTCGGCTCTATAATTAGTATATTATTTATTGCCACTTAAAAAGTTTTTGAGTGTAGTCTTCTAGTTCCAGGGATGGAAAAGTTATTTGTGACATGAATTGCTATGTTGGTTTTAGTAGGACCTTATTTCAATTTCTTCCATATTAATTGCCGAGCTTAGCGCCACTGGTCTTATAGCCAACGGTGTGGTTGAACTCTAAAGTTCCAGCAACCCTAGCGGCAGCCGCTGACCGTTGTCGTTGAACCAGGGTGGTTAATAACATAACAATTTTGTGGTTGTCCAGGTCTCATTTAGCAAACAAAGCCAATAGCTGTATTTTGTATATTACAGTTTTGTATTCAGTGGTTCATGCATATGTTTAAAAGCATTCACCAAACGTCACGTGGAAAAACCGCTGAATCACGTTGCTCAAAAGTCAACATCTGCAATTGGGGTGTCACCGGCCATACATATTAGAAGATTAAAATTGGTCCTCCACTTGTTCTGCATGACCTCCTTTTGGATATGTTAACGGCCACGAAATTACGTGGACAGACTGATATTACTGCATGTTTAGCAGCTAAAAATGTCTTGTTTAGCAGCTAAAAAAAGAGCCTGGTATTCAGCATGAAAGATTTTTTTTACTGGTTTAACCACTATTATCCGATCTATTAATCAATTATTTCAAATCGGATTTTGTATGGACACGTTATGAGGATTATTCTTACAATTCTATCTACTTTATTTGTAGATGTTATAATTCAAACTCCTAATCTTACTTGAGGGATTTTAGTTGCAAATGTCAGAATTTGAACTCTTAATCTTATTTAAGGGATTTTAGTTACAAACGTTAGAATTTGAATTAATATTACTTAAGATATTTAGTGTCTCATCACTCGATTTTAATCATCATTATTAATAACTGGATTATTCAGCACAAGAAAATGACATTCGGGCACGGGGCCAATGTTGGACCTACACAACGTGAAAAAGTAAATGAACGTACATTTCTTTGATTGTTGTGGAGGCAAGTGGCAACAAAGTCTGGTAATTCACTTCACCTTTCCACTCTGTTCCTATCCTTGAATGGCGGAAACAACAAAGTGGAATAATAATTAAAGCAAATGATCACCAAAAGCTTCATAAATCACGTCTAATTCGGGGACAAGATTTGGTTTGACAAAGCAGGAAATCAAAGTAATATAAGATTAATCTTATAATAGGAATTAGTGAAACTTGAAAGACTGTCTTTTCATTTGTTAATAGAAACCAGGAACAGGCAACCAGAATAAAGATATATAGCAAGAACACATAAACAAATCTATGGATTATGAGTTAAAGATGAATAAGTTCCCAATGAACAAGAGGATTTATTAAAGAAAATAGATCAAAATACCAAAAAAAATGAAAAATGAAACTGTTTCACTATCAACCTTATCATGATACTCTGCTTCTGCATTATTTACAGTGTATATATATATATATATATATATATATATATATATCCTTTAAACCATTGAACCAGCAGGATGAATTGGGTTTAAAAATGATGGAACGTACAGTGATAATAAACCAGCATCAACTTGGGGAAGTTCAACAGAAAATTGTATGCAACGAGCTTCAACATGAGATGGCATTAGAACCATAACTAATTGCTCGGAGACTTGAATCAGACATATTAGTCATCCATTTCTGAGGACCATTTGATTCCCCCGGTATATTGTATGCATACGAAGGCCATCTAACATCAATGCCACATGAGTTTTGGATGCCCAAACTCATCATCCTTTGTGTTCTCTCCAGGACTACAAGGCTAGAAAATGTGGAATAACTGTTGCCTACAAAAATATCAGCCCTCGAGCACACCTCGTAGTCGATTGCCGATTGAATCAGATATGGATGCTTCTTGTAAATCCCATCAACCCTTAGTTTCTTCTTCTCGAAAGGAAGCAACCATTTCTTCCAACCTCTTAATATTGAAGAATCGTTAAGGAGGCTATCAGCAACAGCGAGATAAACAACAGTGGGAGATTCTGAGCTGACAATGTTCCCCACCCTCTGTATTATTTCTTGCTTGCTACTGCAAATTTGGTTTATGCCTGATCGTTGCTCTAGCTTCTTACAGTGAATCATCCAGTCTATCTCTACCCTCATGTGGACTGCAATGTAAGGAGCCGCGGCCATTGAAGAACCCTCTGTATCGAAATCGGGATCACTTTGTACTGTCTCAGTTTTGCTCCTAAGCTTTCTTCCTATCTGCCTAATCTTAGACGCAACTTTATCTGCTTCTTTTGATATCTCATCAACCAAAACTAAGCACTCAAAGACCCTTGCGTAGTCCTTAACAGGCCAATGATCATGCCAAAGAAATGGATTCTTCCCCACAATTCTAATCACCTCATGCTCATCAACATGACCTCTGCTACTTTGCTTCAACTGCTCCATGTCTCTCTCCACTGTCCACTTCCTTCCAATTCCCTTTTGGAGATCATACATTCCAGTTTGATTCTTAAGATCCGAATAACGACCCAACCGCACGAACCCATTACAAAGCGAATTAAACTTATCAAACTTGAAGACTTTATCGAAGGAAATAGGCTGCAATCGGTCGATTTCCTTGTAGAAAAGTGAGGCACTTAAGCTAGGCATCAAAAGAGTTCGGTTAAGCATTCTAGCAGTAAAACAAGCTCTTGCAAAAGCTATCTTCTGGTTATTAAGTCCCCAAACAATTTGAGGAACCTCCAAAAACTTGCCCCTACGAATCCCTTCATAATTGGAGCTCAGCAACAAAGAGTGGCTTAGAATAAAGTCCTGGTTGATCCAGTCGATCACACCATAGCCAGGGAATGAATGGAGCAAGACAGTACTGAGAAACAGAACCATGGATACCAGTGCAAGACATTTACATGTCAGAGAACTCAACTGGCAGCCGATTAACACTGAAAGCATACTGTTAGAAGACAAGTCCATTTGAATTCACAAACTTACAGAATTTCCATAACGGAACTCATTGAAAAGATATCATAGGAGAATTCAACAACCGATTTAGAACATGCCAAGTCCTGATATCACTATAGCCTTGGAAATTGAAGGTATCTAGAGTTGAGCAGACACCAAATATGTCTCTTTGAATTTAGAATCTGGATAATTCAGAACAGAATTGAATTTATCATTAGAATCCACTGAAGCTTGAGAAAACATGTCAAAACTGCATACTTGATTCATAGGTATAAACAAGCTCAATTCAAAAGTAAAAACTGGGATGAGAAATGCAAGCCAAGATGAAGCCCACGTGATACCATAAAATAACATTCAAATAAGATCGAAAACCAATAAAGCTCGTCTCTTTGCCAGTCTACCAAATTTAGCAAAAGAAACCAATGGATATTCCAAAGAAAAAAAAAGACGGGATGCAAAAACCAAAGTTATGTTGACAGAGATGGATGACGATGAAATTGATTAAAAGTTCTTACCTTGATCTGAAATCTGCAGAAATCAAAATACGGTGACCGAAGAATCCTGAATCCTGACGATGGAAGAAGACATCAAATTCTGAACAAAAGGATATATGATCATGAATGAGAAAGAATCCAGAAAAGATTGAATTCTCTATAACCAAAAGTTAGGCCCATCGCCCAAGAACAACCTCAATGACAGCATGAACGAGCGATTCAGAAGAAGTGTCCTTTTTATCAATTATTAGGAAAATAAAGACGGGGATTAAGGAAATAAAACAATAAACGTAGGAAAAGAGGGTTGGAATCTAGTGGGATAATTGTAGCAAACAAAAAGAGAAAAAACAAGCAAGGAAGTGAAAGGGAGTCAGAAACTGGGGAGAGATGAGTCTCTTTTGCAGGACGGAGAAAATTTGTATGATTTGATAAACGCACTTTAACTGTCTCATCACGACCCAAAACAAACTAGGGTAGTTTTAGGATAGGGTATCATAAAGGTTAAAGTTACCCAAAATGTTATTAAAATGTTAAAACTTGTTTATGCAATTGAAAATCTATGTAATTACATAAATTATTATCGTTTGCATTGTGGAATTGTATACATATTTGAGTATTATTACCATTTTATGTGGAATTGTTAAAAATCTAATTATTATTATTTAGTGTGAAATTTAGTTAAATTTAATAATAAAAATGAATACTAGCATTTTAGATTGTGATTATTATCATAATAATGTCAATGGCTCGCCAATTCATGTTTCAATGTATAAGGTCAAAAGATGGGGGCTAGAAGGAAGGATCACTTTATGATTAATGCATTCTCCATTATTCACATATCACATCTCAGAGAGTTCAGTTTTGTTTCCATTATTTATTAAAACATTCGTTTTTTATGGGAGAATAACATAAATGTTCTAAGGATTTTTGTTTTGTTATATGTTAAAGCTCAAATTAAAATTGTTTAATATTATTGTTAATTGCTTTTAATAGATAAAATATTTAATTTAGATATAATATTATAAATAAAAAATTAATTTAATCTGAACGGTATTCATATTAATTAATATTACTATTCATAAACTATATAAATTTAATTTTGATATATAGAATAAAATCGTTAAATAATTTTTAAGAAACTAATGTGGATTGTTTATAAATTTTTATTTGATTAATGGATTTTAAATTTTTAAATAGTTAATTTACCTGAATTTTTTTAGCTCAATCTCTACATTATTAAAAAGTAGTAATATTTTCAAGTTTTGTTTGATGTTAATATAATATAATAAAAGAAAAATGAGAAAGAAAAAGAAAAGAAAGAAAGAATCTAAGAGGCTTGAAGAAATGAGTATGGAGATGAGAAGGATGGGTGTCCCATGTGAGGGCGGATGTCCATTTCGGGATGTAGGAAGCACAGCTGTAGGGTACTTCAGGGATGAAAACTGACGCATCCGAATCTTCATCGCTTTGGTTTGTTAAAGTCTCAGGTCTTTTGTGTCCTAAAAGCTTCAAAACAAACAAAACTTGGCTCGCATTTTTAGGTGATGCCCCAAAAATTGCCTGTATGGGTGGGGGCCCTTGGCTAATGGACACCCAAATTTTGAGCAAACTTTACCTTAGTTAATTTTTATTTATTTATTATTAGATATAAATTTAATAATAATTATTTTTTATATTTTTCTTATCCTGCAATCGTGTTTAGTATTGATAGTTTCAGCTTTATATGTCTTTCTATCCTTGGAATTTAAAATGCAAACAATTCGAAATAAATATGCAATGATGAAAATAATAATTTTAATATTTTCATTAGCCATGTTATTTCATTATTAGATTAACAGATGATGAGCTTAGGGGTTGAGTAATTTTGAGGGACCATCTTCATTAGTACGAGCGACGGATGGCAGTGATTGATCGTCTTCATGGTCGCAGTAGCCTTCAAGAACGTGGGCCTGTTGGGTTGTAAAGCCTAGTGCATCGATCATGTTGGGCCAGCATTGATGCCTTATGGTACCAATTGCATGGCAGCAGCTTTCTCCTATTTCGGTCTAACCATTCAGGAATAACATAATAAGCTCTCCAGTGCATGATTGAAGCTGAATCAACGAGCTCCAACAGTGGTTTGATTCCTCATCCAACTTCAACCGAACCAACAGGTCGTTTGTTGTTGTCTTGGGTAGGTCCAATGGCCTTGCCTTAGCCATCAAAAGCATGCTCGTTGCAAACACATGCAAAAAACAAGTCCCTGCAAGTGGAACCCATTTCTGAGAGAGATTGATTGGTTATTTGGCTGCAAATACAATGTCGATACATATGGGAAACACCGTGAATTGTTTTGGTTTATATAGGGATGATTGAGAACTCAGGAATCTTGATAGACCATTGCCTGCATTATTTGGAAGAAGCTTATGAGACTCATGGGTTTTGCCTCATCAATTACATTGCAATAAATTATCTGAAAAACCTTTTGATTTAACTAACAGTTAAAAAAATTATCAAGGGAATTATGTGATAACTCATTATGTTGGATTTATGTTATGTCGTTGGAATCATAGTGTCATTTCTTAGCTAATCAGACAAGACCTGTGACATGGTGACAACCCATGTACTTCTGTGGAATTAGGGAAAGTACTCCTAAATCCTAAGCTATAACAAACGAATGTCTGAACATAAATGAAAAACTTATTCAACAGATGACTGCTTGCATTGCAGACAAAAGCCAGCATAATGTAGACCCAGGTTTTTTTCATCAAGGAAGTACGGTCATTGGTACATATCTTTTCTTGTGTAATCATAGAATTCAGTGGTCATTTGCCATTAATGTTGAATTGAAATGTGACAAGTACAACGGAAAGGCAAACCAAATCAAAACATTACGGTCTGGTTCACTTTTTGTTCATTGTTTTCAACTCTCTTGTAATATTATCACCTGTCATAGTGAACTTCGTCTCAAATACCCGTGGTTTGCATGAAAGTCATTGTATTCTGTTCCTTTTTCACTTTTAATTTGCAATCGATTGATTGTCATTATCTTTCATAATTCGTCATCCTTTAGAATCAACATTTTAGATGAGTTCCTGCATTACTTTAACTGGCCTGGACAGATTGTCTCGGCTTCTAGCTCAGGCTATCGATGCTTTACAGTGCTCGGTGATGGTCAAATAAGATCATACATCATAGAGTATCCTACCAAAGATGAAAAGATTGATAGGAAATGTATTGAAATACCCAGTTTCTGCCTGCATACAATATTTGCAGATAACGAGTTGCCAGAGGATTTTTTTTTTTTTTGACAAATTGCTGGAGGTCTTCATTGGAATTTATATGGACTATATTATTCAGTGAACAGATAGAAAAAGTTAAGAAACTCTGACGAGGGACTAGCTTTGAGGATTTTTCAAGTTTATGATACCTGAACTTTTTATGAGTGGTTGCAACTGTTGCGGAAGACGGCTATCGGATAGAGTAAAATCGCAATTGATAATTTGAGAAAATAAAAATAAAGATAAAAGAGACACAAAATTTACGTGGAAAACCCTTAAAAATTTAGGGTAAAAACCACGGGCAACGGTAGAAGAATTTCACTATGAGAAAATAAGAATTACAACTTTTCTCGATCGACCAAGGAGAAAACAATGATAATTCTCTCTTGATAAAAAGGAGAAAACAACTCTCAAGAAACTCTCTAAATTCTCTCTAGTATTGGAAGAAAGCTAGAATGCTTTGGGATGATTTTGAAGCTAAATGAGCTAAAGTATTTATAGTTGAAGCTTAAGGACTAATTTGTAAGTACCCTAAATTTCAATGACTAATTGCATAGTTTTACCATCCAAAATATTCAACAATTTCAGCTGCCATTTGCACCACTTGCACCTAAAATATTGTTGTCAAAAAACCCACCGACACTTGTTGACTTTTCAGCAGCAACGAGATTAAGGATTTAAATAGCGATCCGCAACCGCGATAGCGCCCGCGATATAACAGTAGCGGTGCTCTCCGTGACCGTTATTATATGATTGCGATATCCGCAATCACCATAATAACACTTGTTATGTCCGCAATCACGGTAAACACGATTCCTTGACAAGTACCGTTCCCTCAATCGCTCTGTTGTAATTTTAGGATTTATTTTATTACTTTTATAATCATTTTTGAACGTGGGGGTGTTCAATAAATTTAAATTTGAATAACTGAGATATATATTTCTTTTATTTTGAAGTGAAGCGGATTTGTGGGAGGAGAATACGATCAATGATCTTGAAGAAACCTTGGGGACAACTTGGGAATTCAGCTTTGGCTTCAGAAGAGATTTTGAGAGATTAGTCGGGATTGTAAGAGACATCTTGCGAGTCTTTCTTCTTTGTTTCCTTTTTCGTTTTCTGGTATTTTCTTTGCTGTTGATGAAGAAAGACAGAAATGGGATTTAGAATTTTAGATTCGGGTAGCGGAGGGACTAATGATAGGAAGGTGGATAAGAAAGCTGAGATGGATGGTTGTGATTGGTTAACTGGTGACTTGGTTGTGATTGGTTAACTGGTGACTTGGTTGTGAGTTTCAGATTCTCTTACATGATACATCCTGAAATTTCGGACAAAATTTTATGTACTGTGACTACATCGAGTGTTGTACATGAGCCGGACGCTCCTGACTACTGCATTGTAACTGTTGCAAATAGGAATGCCACGAGTAAGGAAAAAAATTTCGCATACCGCAATATGTTATTAAATTGATGAATCGAAATAAAGTAATTTTTTTCTTTATTTTATAAATATTAAAAAGCATAAGAATTTATTTAAAATTAATTATTTATTAAAATTTAATTATAATTTTAATAGATTTGTAATTTTTAGGGTAAACTATATATTTAGTATATAAACTATCACTTTTGTTCCGATTTAGTACCTCGACTTTCATTTTTTTTAAATCATACCCAACATTTGTTTTTTTATTTCATTTTATTACTCCGCCATTAAAAAGTTAACGACACAACTGACGTGGAATTTTTTTATTTGGATAAATTACACGATTCATCACTCAATTATCTTCTCACTATTTTGGTCACTAAAATTTAAAAAAATCAATTTAATCATTAAACTTTCAAATTACTTGTATTTTGATATCTCTTTAATGATGTGGATTGTTTTATTATTATTTTTAGTATGTAATGGCATATTTATATTATTATTAATATCGAATAAAATTTAAAATCAAAATCTTTAATCTTAATCCTAAATGTTTAAACCCCAAAGTCGATCTAAACCCTTCCTTAACTTCATCTTCATGAAACAAAGAATATCCAAAAACCTAGACTATCCCTTGTTTTTTTTCTTTCATTT